AATGAGTTTTTGTTTTTCTTCTTGTTTTTCTTAAAGGCATTAGAGGGATCGAAGGAGAAAGGTTAAGGAAGGAATTTGATATAAAATTCGGTTATATAAATTAATTTTTTTAAATTAATATTGTGAAATGTATTCCTTTTTTTTTTCTTTCTTGATCTAAGATGCTTTAGGATGGATATAAGTGAAGAAAGATCGAAGGAAAAAGTTTTTGTTTTATTTTATTTGAAATTGTAAGCCTTTTTTTCTCTCTTTTGAATTTTAAGAGAAAAATATAATGAATGTGCTTTCCGTTTGTGGTTTATCGTATTGCGAAAGATTTTAAGTTTGCTTTTGCTACATCTGTTTAATAGAACATCGTAGAAAGGAGATCTTTCAAAGAGTACCATAAAGAGCGCAGACTAACGAGAGAAGAATTAATTAGCGCGAATAAAGACGGTTTTGTATTAGTTTCTTTTCTACTTATCTAATTAGGATGAGTGAGTCAGAGCGATTCAGAAATTCGTAATATCGAGTATGTCCGTGTTTGGTGTTCCAGATCTACTTGACGATCGATAATTTATATTTTCTCTACTACTCTTCTAATTGTAGAATTGTAGAACGAATCAGAGATTTATATCTTCAATTTTTTTTTTTTTACAAAACATTTTCTGTTTTACAATCCAATATGTTACCAAGACTATATAAAAATCCTTAAAATTTCCTAAATTTATTATTTTTAACAAAATTCAAATCTTCAAACTTCTAAGTTCTGTTCTTCTTTTCAAAATTACATTTAAATATCTAAACGGCTTCTTTTCGTATTCTAATCGTCAAATCTCATCAGAAATTAACTCGTCACATTTCATCGTAATTCTTACTTACTTCTTCTTCGTTTCTTTCATGATTTCTCTCTCGCCTCCGTCCACAAAAACGCAACAAATCGAGCGAATCGTTCTTTTCGAGCGCGAGGAGACGAATGTACGTCGAATCGTCGAATCAACTGGCGTTCACAGTGATGGATCGATCCATCTACGTTCGTACGCGATAGATCTCGTGGAAGATTGCAAGAAGGGAGAAACACGATACGATTGCGTTATCTTTCTAATGGACTCGAGACGAGCACAGTTTACAGCTAGTTTTATCGGAATCGTCGTCGATTTATTAGCCATCTCTTCGTATCTATCTCTTTTCCCTCAGTCTTTAATAGATTTATGGATTGTATATATATATATATATATTCAAGTATTCATTTGTCCACCTGTTCGACTCCTTGGGGGGAAAAACTTGATGCACGGTTATACCATGTTGTAACTCGTTAAACTCTTGTAGTACTCTTTACCTTCCCCGAGTACCTTCGTAAAATTAGTGTTTATATGCCTTTGTCAATGATGCCGTCCGACGTTTAACCATATATTTTTGGAATATTTTATTGAATGCTATGTATTAAACAGGAACTGTTTAAAGAAAACGAGCCATTGTTTCGTTTCGAATCAATTGACGCGTTCGTTTAACAACTTCCCACAGGAATTATTATCCTCGTTTAAGAAAAAGAAAAATTACTCGAAGAATTTTCCATTTAAAGAAAATTGAAACCAATTTTCGAAAATCAATTTTATACCATATTTAATTTTTTTCAGGCAATTTCGTTCGATTCAAATACCCGTTTCGATCTTCCAATCAACTAAACAACACGTCGCAACAATAATTCATTCTAATTGCATAACGAAAATTACGAATACATCCACATCCTCGTACAAATACTCCTCACTCTCGTGGAGGATTAGAAAAAAAAAAAGAAGAAAAATTCTCTGTTGTCAAACTCGTATGTATGTATTTGATCTACGATCTCTGAGACGGATATGGTCGCAACGAATGCGTAATTCTCGTTGTCGAAGATGACGAAGGAGACGAGGAAGGACGCACGCACGTACACTGTGGCGAAGTGCATTCGTCGAGTACGTAGACGGGGAGTAGGGGGCGGTGGAGGACGACGAAGAGGAGGAGGAGGAGGTCGAGAAGGGGAGTAGGAAGGCATAATGGTGGTGGTCACATGCCCCCCGGCAACTTTCTTGCCTCGTCCGCGGGAGAAAAGCAAAGAAAAGAGACGGGAGAACGATGGACAGGACAGAGACAACGCGGTCGCGATGAAGGAAGATGAAAATAACGCGATGTTTTTGTATCATATGATATATATATATATACAGCCAGTGAGAGCCCGAGGCGTCCACCAGGATGTAACGAGGAGAGTCCGAGTGTTGCCCGTGGCTCCATATATTTTAGGGAGAAGTGTCTCTCCCTCCCTCCTTTGCCCTCTGGTTTGGCCCTACGTGTCTTTGAAACGGGTCGTGTCGTGCCCAAGGCGAGAACCTCCTCCTGTCTCTTTCCTCCTTTTCTCTCTTCCACAATTCTTTTCTTTTCTTTTCTTTTCTTTTCTCTTTTTTTCCTTTTCCTTCCTCTCTCGTCCTTTCATACTTCTGTTAATGCTAGAGAACCGCGATACAAGTCCTCGTCCACGCCAGTCAAGGCAATTAAATCGCGTGTTACGTATACGTTTCTTTTTGCGCGCATCTCGTTTCATATGTGAATGCTGGAATATTATTTAATGGATGTAAGACGTCAGGTTTACATGGAGCTTACTGAAATCGATATTTTATTGCTTGTCTTTCCCCTTTTAATAAAGCATCCTACGTGATTTCTTTCGATGTCCACTTTTGAATGAATGGAGAGAGAGGGAGAGAAAAAGTGTAATAATCAGTCATTCGTAGAATCTTTGTCTCTGAACGAAAAAATTTTTCGAGTTCGAGGATCCAGCTAAGTGTTTTCCTTTTTATTTGCCGATGTAACGATGACGATCGTGCATCGTTCTCACAGATGCTATTTTAATCCCTGATTCCCGAATGATCGAGGAAACGATTGATGAGTCGAGTCTGGATCGGTGGACCGAAACTAAAGACATCAAGTGCCAAGAAAGAGCGGAGAGGGCGAGTGCGTTCGACCCCCTGGAACGCTCCAAATGGTTAAAAAACGTTGAGAGAACGACTTCCAGTGGTCCGTCCAATGAAGTCACGAAGCATTAAATCCGATTTGCAGGATACAGTTCGCGAAGAGCATTAAAAAGTATCCCCTGTGGGGGACCACTGTCTCTCAAATCCCTTCTGAAATTTCTCTTCTGAAATTCGAAACGAGCTGCGTATGAAATATTAAGAGTGATAAAAACTTGATGGTCGTTTAATCATCTCCTTTTCTCGTTTAAAAAAAGAGAGATCTATCAATTTTGTGCATCCATGCAATCTTATTCAAATTCAAATCTATCGGCAGAAGATGAAACATTTAATATAAATGCAACAAAATAAATTATTAAATTAGACTCTGGCCTGATTCGAAGCTTAAGCATCCATTGAAATACACGGATACTCGTGGATACTCGTAGATTTATCGAATAAAATTTTACTCCACTCGAGCGTCCACCCCCTTCCTTCCTCTCTTTCCTCTACTTTCCTCGTCCACCAGTAATGGGTAAAATTATTATTATAAATTTAATAATTAAAGTTACGAGTAAAGTCAATTCCATAAGTTACTTCAATAATTTATTGTTCAAAACATAATAATAATAATAATCAGTCGAGAATTAAATCATATCGACTGATGATAGGCGAACGAATAAATTAATTATTTAACCATTTTAACAAATAATTTCACTCAAAAATGACTTCACTCGAAATCTTTTAACTAGTTTTCGACTTTTTCAACGGGTTTAACGGGTCAACTCCGCTCGCCCACCGTTGATGCGCACCGACGCGCTGTGCACCACGTTCTCGCTTATATACGTGGAACGTAAAAGAAGGAAGGTGGCGAACTCTTTCTCTTTCTCTTCGGCTGGTTACGTGACCTCTTGTGGGTGTATGTTTAACCTTTTCGATGGCAGTCGGCAAAGAGAGGAGTATGGTCCCCTTGCCCCCCGCC